AAAAAAAGTTAAAAAAAAAAAAAAAAGAAAGTGGCACTGTGGCTCAAGCAGTAGAGTGCTACCCTTAAGCTGAAGCTCAGGGACTGAGCCCAGGCCCAGAGTTCAAGCCCCACAACCAACCAACCAAAAAAAAAAAAAAGAAGAAGAAAGAAAAAAATACATATATACACTGACATAATACAATGAAGACAGAAAGGGAAATAATGAAGGTATTCAGTGTTGTCTACATGGGCAATTTATATATCCCTCTTGTCAAGCCCAATACTATAAAAGCTTTTTTTTAATAATTATCATAACTCAGAGCATCTACTAGGTTGCCAGGGATGTTAACACCATACAATGTACAAAGCTGACCACCATAACAAAGAATTATAGGATCCTAAATGTCAACAGTGTATATAAACTAAACAAGACTATTCCAGCTAAGTAAAATGTGGAAGAAAGGGAACACAGGAGGTCTAGTCATTAAAACTTGTCTATTAAAACTACTTAAAGTTTTTCATTCTACTTTAAATTTTGCTTTAACAGTTTTATTTTTTTTTCACTCAAGTCAGGAAGACGCTTGGAATGAGGTTTAGTGATAAAATGCTTGCCTAGCATGGATAAAGCCTTGGGTTCAATTCCTCAGTACCATATAAACAGAAAAAGCAGGAAGTGGTGCTGTGGCTCATGTGGTAGAGTGCTAGCCTTGAGCAAAAGCAGCTTAAGGACAATCAGTTCAAGCCCCAAGACTAGCAATAAATAAATAAATGTCTCTCAAATTAATAAGCAAGAACCACAGACCTACCTCCACCTTTTTCTATTCAAACAGAAAACATTTCTAGGCTGGGAATATGGCTTAGTGGTAGAATGTTTGCCTAGCATGCATGAAGCCTTGGGTTCGATTCCTCAGTACCACACAAATAGAAAAAGCCAGAAGTGGTGTTATAGCACGAGACAGAGCACTAGCCTTGAGCAAAAGAAACTCAGAGATAGTGCCCAGGCCCTGAGTTCAAGCTCCAGGCTGGCCAAAAAATTTTTTTTTCTAAAATTTATGGATCAAGCTAGACACCACAGGCTCACACCTATAATCCTAGGTACTCAGCAGCCAGAGATCTGTTGTTCATGGTTAGAAGCCAACCCAGGCAAGAAATTCCTTATCTCCAATAAACTACTCAGAAAAAGACAGAAGGAGCACTGTGGTTCAAGTGGTAGAGCGCTAGCCTTGAGCACAAAGAGGCTCAGAGACAGCAAACTCAGACCAAGTTCAGGACCCAAGACCAGAAAAAAAAAAATTGTGAATAACTACGTATTCTACAAAATCTGGTTCACATCAACAGAAAAGTACTAGGCAACTCTATTCTCCCCTCTTCTCCCTTACTCTACCTCCCAATCTAACCAATCCTGATTGTTCTACCACTGATGTTTCAGCCTAAATAATTAATATTAATGGGTTCCTATATTGCTGGGAAACCAATGGCCTTCCATTTCTTTCATTCAACATGGGCAAATGCCTCTATTTATTATTCAGAATGAGTCTGCTGCTGTGAAAAACAACAAAGAGACAGGGATGAGAAAGAATAGGAACATTCTCTCACTTGGAACAAAAGAATGAAACATACTTGTCTTGTCAATCAGGCTCTGAGCCTGCTCTTCCATCCATTTCTGATAGTAGTCTTTTACATTCTCTTTGTGTTTCCTACCACTGCAGTGTGTCTTTCTCACAGATGGCTGTAAAACAAAAAGGTCATTATCAGACACAGAAACAAACTTTGAAAAATTTATAAAGCTTTACCTTTACATAATATTCCAGTTAACTTTAGCCAGATGTTAAAGCATCTGTCACACACACACACACCCCACACACACCACATACACTATCCAGCAATACAATATAGTAATTTATATATTCTACTTACTATCTAGACAAGGGTTTAACAAACTATGGCCTGTCAGCAGGCTGCCTATTCTTGTAACAGTAGTGGAACACTGACATTTGTTTTGCTTTTGGCAGTGCTGGAACATACAGCTTCATGTGTGCTAAGCCTACACTCCAGCCCCAACAAATACATTTATTTGTTTATTGTCTATGGGTTCTCTGAGTTGAGTAATTACAGCAAGATCATATATACGCAAGCCTAAAATAATTATAATCTGCCCTTTAAGAAAAAAAGTCAACACTGTCCAAAAAAAAATGTATTACCTGACTTAAAAAATAGTAACTCCAGGCTGGGAAGGTGGCTCAGTGGTAGAACGCATGCCTTGCATGCCAGAGGCCCTGGGTTC